TTCATCGGTTCATGGTAGGGTACTTTGTGTACTAGTACATTATATGAGGACACAATACTTTTATCAACCTCCGTAACGATGAAATGTGGCACACTCATTTCAACAGGCCCTTAGTACTGGCTTGTGGATTAGGCTGACAAAGATGCAACAGTGAAAGGATATCTTCAAGCTTAGTGTTCATGTCTTGCAGTGACTTCTGCAAGCTTATCAAATCTTCCTTGATTTTACCCAGCGTTATATAGCTTTGGTATCAGATTGAGTGTCTCAACTTCGAACCTCTTCTAGGGCCTGATCTGGAACAAGTTATCGAGCGTGCTGTTGTTATTGAGACGCTGGGATTAAGTTTACATGCACGCGCAGCACATATACTTTTGCTGGGCCGGGCCATGTCTGAGCAGTGGTAGTTACTCATTTATTGGATTCATTAATACCGGGAAACGAGAAGTATAACCATCAGATACAGAAGACGTAGCAACTACTTATGTAACAAATATGATAGCTATTGTGAGGTCGGCAGACAACAAAATCCAACCCGAAATCAGTAATAACACGCTCCCTGGATTCCTCTGCTAGCCTCAGCCAAGAAAATTATTAAGGTAAATATTCAGGCAATATCCAGGAGTCTACTTTGGGGTCCGCATGCCAGTGGAGGCCTGATAATTCGATCCAGTATGACAACAGAGAATTAAAAGTTTGGCAACAAACGGTGATGTTGTAAAGGTGTGAGGAAGCCGGGCACAGATTTACACAAAATCCTAACATACCAAATGTTACCTTGTAAACTCGGAAACAAGAGACAATATTTCTACTGGGTCATGATAAATTTTAGCCTCAAAGTGGGGTGGTATACTTCCTCCTGAATGAGTTGGCTTTCCCGGCAAGTAGGTACAGATGCCAAACCGTGGGAGGAGTCAGTGCACCTTGGGTTTACGGGATAAACTAACAACAAAAGCATAATTTGGCTCGCTTGATAACAAGTTGACAGAAACCTTAAATACTTTGGATTGCAAACAGGAGATTTTGTCAACTTTGAAGGGTGACAGCAGACACGAATGCTGCAAAACTAGAGAGGGATGAGTTCTACGTAAATTAAAAGCTCACAGTTATTGTTACAGTACGGATCCCAGCATAAACTATTTGAGCCATAGGGCAGCAGTCTTCTCTTTTACCATTTGGAATTAAAGAAAAAGTAGTAAGACCGGCAGTGTTTTCGAGCGTAGCGAAGCTCCAGCACTTGCTGACAGGATAGCAAATGGAGACAAGAAATATTTGAACGAGTTTCGTTCCTGTCCGCTGAAGTAGTTCCGTGGCACGGGGAGCATGTTGCTGTCACAAAGTCTGGGTCCAAAGCCGCACCTATAAAGCGAGCAACAGCCAGGATGGAATGACAGAACGCGGCAGGGGAAAGTTGTTAAAGTCAGTGGGAACAAGTTATTGATGATAACAACTTTTACAGCTAAGGAAGTTTTGGTGGCATGATAATTATCCATTTACAATATTTCAAGATCAAAAAGCCCGGTAAAGTGTCCTAGTGTTTTTCTGATTTTCTGAATTTCGGTAGAACTAAGGCAGCTAGGTATAGTGGGGCAGTATTCCAGCGGTGGTCAGGCTGACACCTATACAGAACCGAGTTGTTCTCATTACGGGGAAAAATTGGGGTCGTGCGATTCAGAGCATTGTGCCGTTGCGTGTTCAGCAGGGACGAAATCGCTATGGTACCCAACTAAAGAGGTCGCAGATGCCACTCAGTCGTTGAAGTTCGAGATTTTGGGGTTGAAGATTAGCCGTCGCGCTCCGTTCGCCGAAAGGCGAAACCCAGACTTCTATGTTTTAATTGGAAGCAGGAACGAATCATGTCATCTATTTACCTTATTTTATTGATGCTGCAACATTGATTAGGGTGTAAGGTGCAAACTAATATCATGTTATCTGAAGGGAGAAGGGTCTTGCCCAAAGTAGCGTGGGTGCATATTTCATTTACACGCCTTCCAACTTCATTTTTCCGCCAGACAATACATGTAATGTGCAGATACAAACTCTGCTGTTTTTAGAAAAAAGCTGATTCAGAGAAGAACAATGTTGCTTTCAACTTGATCCTCGTCTTGGGCTCTACACTGATATGTAGTTTCGCAACGTAATCAAATTAGCACTAACGTGGTGGGGTTTGACGGACCATAACTGTAGGTTTGAATCAAGTCGCGAAGATAAGGTTTTAGAAACAATTATATGAATAATCAATAGAGTTATTCAAGTTGTATATATGGAACAGGTTATGCTCGGGCAAATGGAGTGAGTTTTAATGATTATTCGGTCATAGACGAGAAGTGATTCCGTAATAATAACGCGAAGACGATACCTCCGTTTGTCCAACTTGTAACGTTTTGGATTATTATTCTGCTGGGATGCTTCATTATTCAAACAAGCGGCATCTGTACCTTCTAGTGACAGAATAGGTGGAGATTGAGATCACCTGTCAGGATGATACATGTAACAGTGATACCTTAAAGTATTCACACCTGCAAAATTGGTGTGTGTCCGTGTATTCAGGAATAAATATTGCCGTCATAATGACAAGGAGATGAGGCCATAAAAAGAAGTCTTGAATTACTGCACAAATAATATTTCGGAGAACTGAAAAGTGGGTGTATTTCACCAACCTGTTAGCCAGTCAGTATACGTGAACGTTTTCACCATCGGTTAGATGCTCAAAGGTATGAAAATACTTCTCCGACCAAGTAACGTGCTGAGCTGTAAACTCAAGCACTGAGCTGTTAGGGTGCAAGATGCCGATGATTATGGGCATAATCCTTAAGATGCGAACAAAGTCTACGCGGAATTTTTGCAGAAAGGAGTACTAATCTCGGCAGAATCTGCAGATGGATGACTGAAAATTTATCTGAACTGAGGGTTAGTATGCAATCCTAGAAGGTTAGATCGCTTGATGCCAAACTTCAGAGCGGACAGATGAAATGGCCCTAAAAATTTCTAGCCGGTAACTAGTCTTTTTTTCACCTCCCGGGGTAACGACGACACTAATTAACGAAGGATTAAGTGATCACCTTATTTCGGTCAACGTGTTTACGCGGCAACGACACGGTTTTAAAAAGCTCACTTTCGCACCACCAACTTGCTTACAGTAATGTATGAAGGGGCCAGCACTGCTCAACGTGAAGGTAAGGCTGACGTATTTTATCTGAACTTTCTAAGGAGCTTATGTATGTCAGCGGTGGCTACGTTACCGATAAACTAAATCTAATCGGATCTAGTTCACTGCCTGTCGAGTCCATGTCATCGTATTTGCTTAACCATTTGTTGAGAGCACGAGCAAGTCTTGTTATCTCTGAAGAAACAATGTCTGTCTGAAGTTCTTCTGGGTACAATAATGCCATCTCTTCCTGCATGCAGGAATAACTTGCCCAACAGGTTACTTATGAACACCTCCCTTCTTTCTGCGACTAGAAACCATAAAGGAAATATCAAAATTCGGGATGACGGGGTTTGCAAGCAGAAATGTCCAGTCCGGCTCTAAAATTGGGTTAACAGCGATGAGTTTGCACAGAATAGGAAAAAGATAGAAGGTGGTGTGTCTAACGCACAATAGGCGCTCCGTTCATACCCCAAGTGACAGAAAACCAGAAGCACCAATGTTGGTGAAGAACTGGTGCGACCTGGTCTCTCAAAAATTATAATTCCAAGTTGACTGCGGAAAGCACGCATTTCGTGCCGATTTGCTTCCAATGACCCTAAGGCAACTTTTCTAACCATTCTATCACAGACTTTTCCGCCTGACTTTCGGGCATTGTCGCCTGAGGTTCAGGAGGAAAGCCGTTACCCTCCCACTGAGAAACGAATAAGTGAGTTCAAAGCACATTTAGCCGCGGCTAATCAAATCTGCTCGGGCAATAAGGCTTGTAGCATTCGAGGAACGACTGGAAGTCACTGGCGTTTGTCATCTGGGATATGGAAAAATAAGAGCTGATTTAGTAATGACACAATGTCCTAAGCACCACAGGACATCAATTCCGTCACTTATTCAACCTTTTCTACAGCGCCAACACAGGAGGGTAGTCGGAAGTAAACCTCGATTTATATCTCCATGCAGCCTAACCCAAGGTTTGGGGCCTTTATCTTTCCCCACCGTCTGGAGAAAAAACAAATTTAGCTTGAAACGCATCCAGGGGTGCTCAACCAAACCTGTTCGAGAACTTAGGCCTAAAACACTGAAAGGGGGACCGGGTGCACCCGATCTACATCCTTCGAAATAAAGAAGACTAACAGGGAACTTGGTAACGGCCCACAACATCTTGAATACTCTTGGATACCCGCTTCATTACTTGCTGAATTTTAGTCTTAGAGGACACACAGAAACTAAGCTTAGGTCTCAGCGGGTTGGGTATCAGATAAAAAGCCTGTTCTCTAGCGGTGGGTAAACCTTGGAACGGTGGTCCTGCAGAAGTAGTCTGGGCCGCTTCATTTGAATCCTTTAAACGCCGGCTTTATACTTTCTCTAGATGTGGGGGGATCTGCTAATAAGTAACTGAATTTTCAAGTTTTAACCACCACAATTTACTCTCTCTTTCCTGCACATGGGTCAGCAAACACGGTAATTGGCGATCCATGGAGTCTAGGTGATGATGCCACCTTAATGAAAGCTTCTTCGATACCGTCAGAAACCATTTAGACCATTTGAACAGAATATCAGGTCAGATATCAGGTGTACCTTCTAATGTCCAATATTTGTCAAGTCTTGAAGTGCTATCCCCTCAGAGAGCTTGGGCTAGTTCATCAGAATCCGAAGGACGTCGGACTGATACCTACTTTCAGTCCGGCGTGAGTCGAATTACAAGTAACTTGCTATCTTCTTCTCTTCAGTTGTTTTGTAGATCAGTTGTTAATCAAAGAAATGAACAGTCTATTGCCTTCAGACGCCTAATCTAATTGGGCACAAACTTTCTCATCGCAGTAACTGATTATGTGCCACAGTTTAGATTTCACTTTTTGTTTTAATTACTTCTGAGGGTCAAGCGCGCCAGTAACTCATACGGCACGCTTAAGATGGTGAGTTCTGCAACTTGTTTGGGGTAGTTTGGCGTTGTGTTGTGCAATACGGCATACTGTCCTGTGAAATGTAACTGACTGAGAACTGGTCTACATGGTAGTAGTTTGGTGTATAGTCCATGTCGTGCTGATGGAGTAGTCACTTGATGATAATGTAGAACGCAATCATAAACCAAGTCAGTGAGATGTTGAGAGTATGTGTTGTGCTAATTGTGATTCACGCCATTAAGGTCTCGTGAAATATAACGGGTATACTACTGACGAGTTTATTTTGAACTTCTGAGTCAACATTTTCTCCAGGCCAAATATCGTGCCAGGTGTAATGTTTATGCAGCATTTTCCATACCTATCGCCTGATGTATTTTGGTCACGTGTTTATCGTATTTGGCCCTATGCCTGTACCAACTTAGATCGTTGACCGTACGTCTGACACTGCTAAAACTGGCTGGTCATATGGCCACATATGCTCTAAATGCTGCCCCATAATAAACTCGGCCCAACGTTGATTTGTTTGGCGTGACGAAATAAAGTGGGGATTACCATCTTATTCCTAGATTGATAAGTATTCCTGAATTGTGCGTCAGGTATTTGTGGAAAGTCAAGGTCATAAGTGATTTCCTTCCCCTTATCGAAAGTCTAGTGAGAATAATTTTGTGTCACTATTTATACATGTGTGTCTCTGCAGTTAGCCAGAAATCATGGGGCCTTGTTCTATCTCGCCCTCACAATAGTATGTTTGAACCCTTTACCAACTAGACCATGGAGCCACTCTATGAAATTCTTAAATTCTTTGGTTTGCCGAAAACTTTATGGCCGAAGTTCTAGAAATAATGACTGGAAACCGGACTTTAAGGTTGTTTGTCGGATATTTTAGCATTTATTTACTTCTTGAGGTCTTCAGGATGTAGAACGAAAGTACTGTCTTCTTTTTTTTTTTCCTCTCACACACTTGCTTTTTTCTTGATGCCATTTTTTTTATCTGCTGCATAGTTCTGTGGAGTAGCAACCTGAACCATTGGAATTCCGTACGAGATTCTGTATCTCAGTGTATTATCATTATGGCTGTTTGCCACTGTAGTACTTTGAATTATTTGAAAGTTTTATCAATGCTTGTACAATGGAAATTAGGAATCCAGTGAGCATGAGTGTACTCATGCAGTTGGCAATAGGCCACATATCATGGTTAGTTTTACTGTCTGGTTGCCCAAACCTCTATAGGTAGAGCGTTGTTCGAGCCTCTAACCCACTGGTTGAAATGTTAGGTCGATTGTTTTCCTACATTTCGCTGCAGGTTTCTACGCTCTCAAGGTCTCATGCTTTTGAGTGAAAACAATCTTATCGGTCTTGCCAACAACCCAGCTATTTGCCTAGTTCTTTCCAGCAGCACTGTCAAACCATTGTGTTAAGAATATCAGTTGAGAATTGCAGAGGATAAAGTATTGTTTGAGGGCTTCGGGATATTTCATCGAACGTGAAACCCAATAGATGTACGAACGCGACGTCTACAAATTTGGTGTAATGTAATGACAATAAATTCCACTAAAGTACTGATTATCGTACAGTCACTCTGTAGGCCAAATCAGTTCTGATTAATTGAATTACGGTAAATTAAGCGCACTTCGTTAAATATTTCATGGTCATTAATACGCTTTGATCTATCAGATTTCACTTGAAATAAGTATATTAAACATTGACGACTTGCTGGTTCTGTGGGATTGGATCAGTAGCGACCACGCGTAAACCACCTAGCTCTATTTGTGGATGGCATTAGCTTATAGGTACTTTCCAGTTAAAGAGGTTTATGTCGTAAAATTTCGTAAAAATCGAATCTCTTTAGTGCCTCTTTCCATCGTATTCACTTGCGTAAATCACCGGAAGTCGATGAAAAGTTCTAAAGCGAGCAAAACGTTTGTAAAATCTTGTTATCGATTATCAGACTTTTTTGATTAAGATGAGCTAATATGTTTCGGCGGATGCTGAACCATGCTGTCTAGTCCTCAAAATCACACGGATAGTTGACAGCCTAATGTAGACGTACCACATTCTTCCGAGTCGCATGGCTTTTGCAATATACAGTTATATTATGAGTCAGTTTAGTTTGGAGTTCATTAATGCGGGTCTGTGAATAATTTTGCACTTGTAGATTTTGCTCTAATTCATCTGTTTGCTCCTAATTGACCTTTCATCTGTTGTTTTAGGGTATTGATATCTGCCACAAAAACGACAGAAAAGTAAAAAGAACTAATCCAAAGAGTGATGACGTCTACTTACGTCTGCTTGTCAAACTTTATAAATATTTAGCTCGACGAACTGGTTCAAAGTTCAACAAAATAGTAATGCGGAGGCTTTTTATGAGCAAAATTAACAGACCAGCTTTGTCATTGGCTCGTCTCATGCGACTAATGAAAAAGTCCGGACGAGAAAACAAAATTGCTGTTTGCGTCGGAACTATTACCAACGATCTGAGAATCCGAGACTTCCCAAAAATGAAAGTAAGTAACTCGCAAAATCTGTAATACTTTGCGGTTTGGTAGTTTTCTTCCGAGTAACTGTCGAGACATTTCTTCTGTTATTAGGTGTGCGCCCTGAAAGTTACAGCAGCTGCACGTGAAAGAATTTTGCACGCCGGTGGTGAAATAATCACTTTTGATCGTTTGGCAGTTCTCAGCCCACTTGGGAAAAACACAGTGCTCATCCAAGGACCAAGGAAAGGACGAACGGCTGTTAAACATTTCGGTCCTGCTCCTGGTGCACCTAGTAGCCATACACGACCCTACGTCATCTCAAAGGGTCGTAAATTTGAGAAAGCAAGAGGTCGTCGTGCTAGTCGAGCTTATAAGAAATAAATGTATGTACCGATAATAAATCTCTTACTCAAGTGGCATTATGTATTTGTGATATAAATTGAAAGCTAGTGTTGATACATCGTTCTTCGTCTTTCTGTTACTAACCTTGTATTCCATAGTGATAGTCAGTCGATGTTAACATTGGATTGAACACTACTACGTAATCGTCGAAACTACCACACTTCTCGACAACACGCAGTCAAAAGATACTGAGATATAAGAGACGAAACAATGAATAAGCTAATAAAATTAGTAGAAGGTCATGAAAAGAGGCAAGAAGCGATGTTACAATGACGAAAATTTATGTAGAGATTATGATGCGGATATATGAATGCACCGGTACTATTGCGATGAACTCTGATTCATGTTACTTAGAGTCTTAAACTGTCGATTTCAGTTATCATGCCGACCTAAAGCGGATAGTCTACATATTGGCTCATGCTTGGTGGACTGATGGCATATTTTAGTTTGGCTACTTTGTTCAAGCTTAAGCTTCAACCACCATTGCTTGGTGTGTTAGAGAACGGCTCGGTATGCGTAACACGTTCCAGTCATTTGAGCCAATAGGGGTTAACAACCTCAATAGGCGATTTAACTATTTTAATTATGTATCCATGTCTTATTCCTGAGTTACTAGCCTGGTTGTACCATGGCATGGCCTGTGCATCAAATGCGGTGGTCGAGCTCCTAAAACCTGGTATCCTCCACCCTCAAACCCTGTTTTGCAGCCAAATAGTGGAAAGCAGTGATTCTTAATAGGTGATCAAATACCACGGCGACGTAATTTGGCAAACACCAAGCCGACCGTTTGTGTCCATACAGAGATTTCGTTGGTCACTGACCCACCAGGAATTGCCTGATGTCCCAAGTAGGTATAGTGGTTGGCGCGTCACTACCTATTGTTGATCAAGGCACCAGCAGAGACCAGTTCTAAAGCAACGATTTCCATTTGGGTGCTGCGAAACGCATACCAAACATTCGCCGATTGTTAACTTAGGTGTTCGGAAGACAGCATCTTCACTTAACAGGATTATATCATTTGCGTCCTCTAGGTCTACTAAGGATTCTATTCTGATGACATCAAACCTTGATAAATAAGAGGATGTGAGAGAGACCTACATAAGTCCCTCTATGACAAAGTTGGGTAAGAATAGAGGGAATGGATAACGTTGATGGACACCACTCGACCTAGACAACTCATCACGGACCCGACCACACCGACGAGTGTTCGAGTACATAGCCTTCAACAAAATGATACACTTACCTGGTACCTCTTTCAGCAAGAGACGCTACCATAGGACCTCCCGGTTAACAGAAACTACTGCTGCCTCGGGTTGTAAGAATACGGCCAGTGTCGAGTGTCAGTAAGTGTGCCTGTGATCCAGAACCTGGGGAGGGTGAGTGTCTGATCGGTATATGCCTATAATCAGGCCTAATGTGTTCCTTGTTTCCTCAGGTTTGTTGCTCTCGAGCTTTACATAGGTTTCTGAGACGACAGGAACCAGTTATCGAGAATTCTTGGCAACATGACTGAAAATTGGTCACAGGGGTATGCACCTTCAAGTATTTTGAGGCTTGCATATTCTCATTTCAAGTTCTTTATTGTCACACTAATTTATCTACTTAAGTATCGCTTTTTCTATCTGTTTTGTTGCATACCACTGAGTTGTGGCAACTTGTAACGATGCACTTGTTTGCGAGGATCTACACTGATTTCGTTTGTCTGATATTGATTTCTGACAAATATAGGACATAGAATCTCACTTCGTTTTGGTCAGGCTGAGTCGCTAGTAGTTATCCTAAGAGGGGTTCTTCCCTTTCTTTTAAACCGAAACAAACAGTGATTAAGAACAGTCATAGGTGAAAATGTCTGGTTCCCATATGGTAACTGAAACTTCTTAACCTAACTAATAATTCTTAACCACTAACCTTCGGTACTCTGGTCCTGATGTCCTTCGTCGTTTCAGGTGATGCACAGTTTGGAATTTACCCACTATTCACATTGGTCTCACTAACCGTCGACGTTTTTGTCCAGGTCTCTTTAACGAAGCGAATCTGTCTTCTGTTAAGTGTGGCTATTGCATTCTCCTTCTCTCTAACCTTCACTACCTCACGATCATCGTTTAGACTATTGAGGTTCCTTCGTTCCCTATGCGCACTGTGATATAACTTATTCTATCCACCTGTCTTTGTATACTACTGTGAAGTGTGGCAACTTGAATCGATGGACCCGTATGCGATGTTCTGCATTGTTTCTGTCTGTCGTCAACTGGGCATTCCTGCATCCTAACGAGTAACAGCAATTCCACATTGAGACTGAAAGCTGACATCCGTTAATAAATGTCCGTTTAGGTTTTAATTTCGTACTAGATAGAAGTCGGTGGTTGTCTGTTCATAATTGTAGCAATGAGTTTCCATTATCCATCCATTCGACTGGCATTCTCAAAGCGGTATTTCTCCGGTTTTCCCATCCCATCTGAAGCGAACACAAGCGCTTAGGTTTCAGTAGACAGTTTCCGACGGAAATCTTCCAGGCTGCATCAAGGAGTGCATACAAAGAGGTTACAAATAGACTACGGTGGGTTCCACTGTTTATTGCCCACTGAATCATTTAGTTTAACAGTGCACTAACGGGTGTTAGGTGGGGCCCAGTTGAGCAGCGTGCTTTCAGCTACCTATTAGGAATAGCTCTGATGAATGAAAATCGGGGAGTGTGCTCTACATTCGTGGGATCAGCTAAATTATGGTAATAAAGATGTCTTTGCAGCAAAATGATACTAGTTTGTACCTTCACAGTGCTGGGTTGCATCTATATGGTGTTGATCGTTTCTGTTTGCTTTACACGGTTAGTATAGCTGCCGGACAGAAATCTGATTATGTTTGCCATGCATTTCACATTTGTCAACTGTAAGATGATGCTTCAGGGCTGGTCTGTTGCAAGTATTCCCAGTTTAATGATAGAAAGTGAATGTGTCGACCACATCATTTACTTGGGGAGTTGCATGAGCCCGAATGGGCTGGTTGCTGACGAAATCTCATTTTAGATACAGAAGGCCCATTTGGCATTTGCCAACTTGTCACCTTTGGCACCGACTGAAGAGATATCCGACTATCAGTCCGTTCTATCCTGTTATACGTCTGCGAGACATGGCCATTGAAAGTTGAAGTCATGAAGTGGTTATAGGGTTTCGATCGCAGATATCTTTGTAGCATTGCTCGCGTATGGTAGAATCACCATATGAGCAATGTTGAGATCAGACAAAGGTTACTAGGCGAAGAAAGCAAGGCGGTTGATGAGGTTGTGAGCCCTAGTCGACTGATATGACTTGGACATGTGCTGCGCATGCCGAGTGAACCCCCTGCCTCAACATGCCATGTTGAGGTAAGCTGTATTAGGTTAGAAGAGTGTTCAGAATGGTCGGACTAAGACCTGGCATCAATCGATGAAGTCCCTGATTATTTGCCTGAGCCATGTGCGATGTAGACGACCTAACCGGTGTCTCCGAAGCGAAAGGAATCGGCGGTTGAGAACTCTTGGTGATATGGCTGGTTGCAGTGGCGCAGGGGTATTCACTCTTTGATGTCTTCCTAAGCTTGAGTATTCACACCAACCCTTATTTTCAAACTGTTTATTCTCTCATAACTTTGCCCACTGTGATATAACTCTTTCTATTCTCTATAGACTACTGTGAAATGTGGCAACTTGAGCCGATACATCTGTGTGCGAGGTCCTGCGTTGATTCTGTCTGTCTGTGAAAGTGCACTTTAAGTAAACAAAGTTGGCACAGGTTTCTCGAAGTATGATGAATTCCTGGCATTTTATAACATTTTCGACGAAGAAATTTACACCTCATAAGGTCAAGTAGCTCTAAAAACCTCGCTTGATTGAAAAAGTGCACAAATTTTGTGCGCCAAGCTCATAGACCGGGGTCACCCTGGTGTGCAGAAGGACTTTTCGCAAAGCAATATACTTAGTGGGAAAATAATTCCTTGAGTATCCGTCTCAACTATTATTACGACTGGTTGGCTTCAACACAAGTTTATCTTTTTCATCTTGTCACGATAAAAGTTGCTTCGGGATATTGTCCTTCACATCAACTTCACTAGTCATTCAAAATCATCTGTAACATTTTCTCGTCGCACAATGAATTGATACACTGTCACAATCCTGAATGTGGATATGACAGTGCAGAGGGAGAGAGAAACTGAATACCAATTTTTTTTTCATTGAGTTAACATCCAAGTGCATGCATTATAGAAATGACTCATTGCTCACCCACTCCAACTATGTGGGAAATTCCACCATAATTGTGACCAAATAACGAGAAGTTGCAATGAACGTGTAATACATGATTATAAATACTCAGTAAGGTATATTTTATAAGCTATTCATGCTATATTACCTCAGCTCACAGGTTACTTGAGCATGACAATATCTAGTTTGGTTAATTTGATGTAATCAAGACAAAAGGAATCATGCACAAGGTCATCTACCTGAAATAGTTGGGATGGATGCGGTTTCACTACAATTCTCATTGATCATCAAAACGCGTAATGTGCACGTAATAAATGCGTTTACCTTTGGAAACCAACACCTAATATGACATATAGTCACTAAACGTTTGTATCTGAATTCCACTTCACTAAGATCTGATCAACCAAGGAAGTGATATGAACTGGCATCTGGTCTCTGTGCTCTATTTTAATAGAACTGAACTGCGAAGCAGTCGGTTGCCTAGAAGTGCTTGTTCAAGCCCACTAACTCGGTACAATTTCGTTTACACAGAAGCATCTAATGTTATTGGTTTAATGCAGTTAAAAATTGTTTACTGAAGTACAGAGCAATGAAATTGCGAAGCTTAACTAAGTGTTTTAAATATAGACTTTCATTTCAGCGCCTTTCCTTTTAATCCTATAAGATATACGACTAATCTCAGTTTCTCCTTTTCTATTATTGTACAGTTATTGTACCACCTCATGTGAAATATTTCTGATAAAGTTAACACAAACATATTTCTTAAGGCATAACCGCACAGTTTGCCACACTTCAAATGAGCATATCGAGATGGAGGTCGGAGAAAGAAAGATAACGAGATTAACGGTTAAAAAGTGGTAAGACCATAGTTTGAAGAAAAAGGAGCTAAATAGGATGTCACATTCGGATCCAGATGGAATTGAATACATCCGTGCCCCTGCGATCGATTCTGAACCATATAAGCAAAATCGAGCGAAAAGATTGAAACACTCAACTACGTGCATGTCCCTGTGGTAAGTGGCAGCTAGTATCTGGGAGCTACGTGAATCTCGGTAGGCTGGTGCATGTTTTTAACTCATGACCCACTAGTCGAAAGCTAAGTCCACAGACAGAAAACCTGCAGCTACATAAGCTAAATCCCCAAAAGTTTGCAACCACCTTTCTCAGTTGCATCCAACTAGGTTCTTACGTATTACCCAACTTCGAAAACTAGAACGTGTCCCTATTTCGAAGGGAACCAAGGGGTATTTTTGTCATTGGATTACGGACTAGTACACACAAACTAGTGCAAAATAACATTCACTGATATTCTTTTCTGAAACTCCACCAAAAGAAATTTGTTATACAGGAAAGATAGAGTGTTAAGTTAAGCAGACAGAGGGGATTATTCAGACATATATGTGCATAAACAATAACCTCAGGACATAAGATACAATCCTACTGAATACTGAATAAAATCCAGCTTCTAATGCAACTTATATAAATATATAAAAAAAAAGTGGGAAAAGGCCATATACAAAATAAATAAAAAGAAAGAGATAGTCATTTTCCGTTTTGTCTATACACATGGTACGTTATGTACTGTTGCCGTAGGAAAGAGAAATAATTACTTGGGTAGACATAAACTAGACAGTTTACCATTTTCATGGAAGTTGTGATCGAACAGGGATACAAAATAAAAGTTGATAGAAGAAATAAGCACATTTTTGACATTTTTTGATCAAAATATTTACCGAATTACATAATCATTTATCATACATGGAGCAATATGACCAATAAATAAACTATAAACAAGAAAATACAAATTTCTGTATTTTCAGTATAAAAAACAAGCGAATCTGATTGGATAAGGGGCCTGATTTCATCGAAAAAATTTCGAATAATCAATCAACAGACACAAAGTTAAAGAAAGTGGATATTACACTATCAAGTCACCAATAATCCTGGACCAGTGAATAAGGCAACGATTAGAAAGGGAGGATGTTTGTTGTACAACAAGTATCACAAATACCAATGCTAATTGGTATTGTGTACAAAAAAAGACTGCACAAAAATAAGATTACAATATACAGATTTATATCACATCCTGAAAGTGGGAGGGGCGTATGAAAATGAATTCTCCCATACTGTTAAGCTGTTGTTAGGCTAATTTAAAAAATCGGAAGCGCCATTTATAACGCCACTGATGTATCGTTAAATAGAGGAGGTAGAGTCCAATAGAAATCTGGTGTATCAGCGCAGACACCTAACGCAAAACCAAGAAACATGCCAAATGAATAGTAAAGAATAAACGTATCAGTGTACTACTTAACAACAAAAAAATAAAAACATGTAAATAGCTGGAAAGGTATTGGCAGAAAAAGATATGTCTTACTCCACAGTTTTAGCTCATTTATTTAGACTGTTGTCTTGTGGTCAACTGACCCTGCTAAACCCATTGAGGTTTCTACAGTCAATGTAACAAAAATTTACATAACACATTTGACATATTGCTTAGTACACAAACATGTACTTAGATGGTGAATTACATGACAAACAGACAAATCAACAAAGAACCTTGCACACAAGGGTATCCGGTTCAAGTTGTCGCACTTCACCGTAGCATCCAAAGAATAAGTAGATAGAAAAAGAGTGATATCAAAGTAGATGAAGGTGTATCGGAAAAGAAAAAAACCAAGAGCTTCTAAAAGTGTTTGAACTTCAGATGTCATATGGTGAATACATCTGCGCCACTGTGACCGACTTCACGCCATATTACCAAGTATTTCCAACCAGTGATTCCAATTATCTCCAAGGAACCCAGTCAGACAGTCTACATGATTCAGAACAACAGTCAGAGACTTTGATGATTGGCTTCCCATCTTAACCTGGTTACTGTGAGCCTTCTTTCAATACAATCCTACTTCGGCTAACATTGCACGCTGATGTAGACAGTGCTTCGGCATGTGCAACACATATCCGAGGAGCATCAGTCACTAAAGGTTCACAATCTCATCAACCGACCTACGTTCCTTGTTTAGTACCCCTCGCCTAATCTTGACACTGAACAATGAATGCTACGAAGATATTTGTGAGATGAGTTGTGTTGTATACCTTCAAAAACCTTCTGTTTAATAAGGAAGTTAAAAAAATTATTAACTGTGTGCAACATGTGACAAACGCAGTGGTTTTGAGTCTTCCTCAATTTGACGACTATATATTGCATAGGTAGCACAACTACAAATTCCCTACTAGAAGTAATAAATACTGTTTATCACTATTATTATTATTATTATTATTATTATTATTATTATTATTATTATTACTATAGGCTTCCCAAGAACAATGAGTAAAGAAAAGAAGAGATAATTCAGCGAAGAAAATTTTCTTTCCGACGATACCATTTTCTAAATAGTTGGTTGTTTTTTCACCGGGACTGCCCGAATTTCATGACTTCTGTCAGTTATGTGAAATCATTTCAAAGTAATCTTAACACTTAATTTCCTCAGTTTTCCCTATCAATAAATAAATCTGTCAAGTAACCTATTCAACATGATCAATTCATACAGTCAGAGAATTGATAGTTATTTGACAATTAAAGGGCACCATGAAATAAAATACTTTTAGGGATCAATGGATATTTAAGTGAGCCTATTGGTAATATACTTAAAGACTTCATATTTCAGGTTGGAATTAATCATGAACTAGTACCAGTTGGAGGAATCTTGGAAAAATAGGAGTACTGGGAAACTGTTTCGTCCTAGTATAGGACTCCCCAGCAATACGCACTCATGAACCCGCTAGAGGTCAAACCCAGGACCTTTAGGTCTCACGGCCAGTACGTTATCATTTAGCCATTGGGTCGGAATCCAATGGTCCATATTTCCGACTTCTATCCCTACACAATATACCGTGACCTCTATCTAATGTCGTCGTTGAGTAACTGTCCTAATGTTCGACCTGATTGGCTCCACAGGTCACGACTTTTCACTGGAACTTCGGGAATCACCTCTCGAAGCTAGTCGCCAATGAGCACTAGATTAATCCAATCTGGAGCTTTACTGAGATTTGTCAACTGATTTCAGGTTGGAATTCAACACCCACTGCCGTCAGTTGCAGGAATATTGGAAACCTGAGAACACTGGACAACCATTTCATCCTCATCCTCCTCAGCGATGCACACCTATGACCTTGCCAGGGATCGAACCCAGGATCTTCAGGTTCTGCGGCCAGCACATTGCCAACGTTCCTCCAATCGATGTCAGTCCATGATGAATTTCAACGTGAAATCAATTCTTAATTCTTCACAAAGCTCCAGATTGACTTCTTTATATTGTAGAACATGGGTAATTATGAGCACTCTATAGTTATTACTTCCCTTTCTCTTATCAGTGCATTCTATCAAAGATATCGATGTCTTATTCAAAGTGGTATGATATTACCAAAGAATCTCTTGCTACTTTTATCCAACTTTCTATAGAAAGCTTTCTATAAGTAATTCTACCTCCATCATATCTGAGATTGTTCGTTTACTGAAAGACTTTCTGATCAATAAAGAGTTAAAAATCTGGGTCACTACACATCTGTTATGCATATTTTCTTAATCTAATTTCAAAGCGTTAATAAATTGTCTGTTCCAATGATCTGAGTAGCTGCAGCGATTCTAATAAAATATGAGCATAGATATAAAATAATTCATGGGAAGTTTTCTAACTTACGCAAAATGTCCACATATATGATGTATCTATGCCCTATAAAAGGCAACACGGTATCCCTATTATTCCTGTTATTTGTTCAGATTATTTTATTTGACAGAATAAAAGTGATATTTTGAGTTAAAGAACTGATTGATTTTATCGGTAATCTGTATTTAATTCCACACCTGTTTCAAGAATCGTTTTGAGGAAAATAATAGATATGATTATTTATGACTTTTCAGCTCATCAACAAAATACCACCGAATAATTTATTAATACAAACCACATTAGTTGTTACACGATTGTAGAGACACTAGGAAGGGATGTCATCCCAGTATTTGTCTTCTTAATACCTTATTTAAATTCATCAAACAAAAAAACTGTTTTAAAAAGAAAGTAATCTTGCTTCACTAAAATTCGTAGAAAACACACGCTACTTACAAGTAGTTTTATATAAATTCATTAAATTGTACGTAAGTAGGAAATGAGCTGTATTAATAGGATCAGTTATTTGACGGAAAATTTTAAGAATAAGGATGAATTTTTGTTGAAAAGTATGGCTTCTCTGTATCCTGTGATCATAGTAAAGTTAAGGAAAACTGATAAGGGTTAAGAAATCTCACTGTTTTAGAAATTGTAGTGACAGTTAGCAGCAGTGTGTTCCCAGTTTAACTGACCTTCAGTCACTTTTCGGTAGTCTACTATCCACTCGTATTCCGAATGGAACACCGAAGCAGAACCCTAGAGACTTACAGCAATTCAGAAAGTTCTAAGTAAACTGAAACAAGTGAATACAACAGGCCTTGATGGGCTTAGATTGGCGGTATTTAAGAACGGTGGTTGATAGTTACTGGTCAGACTCACTGATGGGAATCAGATATAGTTCCCTTTGAATGGTCTCAACCACTGAATCTCTAAGTTTTCAAGAAGGAATCATCCTATGATGACCACAGGGGAATCAGCCTGACGAACATTTCATGGACGATTCTAGGTTCTAAATTCATTCGACACCTACGTAACCTATAGGAATAGCGAACCGTAGAAAACTAGCCAGCCTTTAAACCTTGTTGTGGGCTTATCGATGAGACAACTCTCCAGCTAGCCTTGAAAAACAGGCAAACGTGCAGGCACTTGACATCAGTTGTATTTCTTGACTTGAAGGCAGTATTTAACTTCGACTGAAGGATCTTACGAGAGTGTATTTATGGCACCGGTATGATATCTCTGCACGGGTGAGAAAGCTTACTTGGCTTTTGGCAATTCATGCTATTTATGGCGCCAGAGTGATGTCTCATTTCCTACTAAAGGTTGCATGTACTGCTCTGCCGTTCACTCTATCCTACTATATAACTTTGAAACATGACCATTAAAAATCAAAGAGGAGGCTTCAAGTGTTTTCAACCACTATTGTCTACTTGGCATAGGCTGTGTCATGACAGTACCATGTCAGTATTACAAAAGTTGACGAAGTTATGAACCTTTATTGACCCAGATGGCTGTGATATGTGTTATGTATGTCAGGTCACCGTCCATCACGTCAAGTAATATTAGTTGAAGTAGGTCAAAGCTGGATATCGGTTAAAGGCAGCAAAATCAAAACATACCGTCAGTTCACGAAGCATAAGTCATGTACGGAAATGTAGTAGTCCCAATTGCAGTCAGCATGGTAACTAAAATCAGTGGTTGGAAACTCTTGATAATATAGCACAGAATCGATCTCAGTGGTGCACATGCATCTATACATTATCTTCATCTTAACCGTCATATCTAAGTTCTTCATTGTTTCATTTCTTCCTGTTCCCTTTATACAACTTTTTATTACCTCGTTTCTTTATCCTTCATCTTGGTGTATTTTAGTTTCATATGCTGTTATGAGACGATTGCCGTCAACCATTCATTCAGCTGATACCAAAAGGGCCAATTAAAGCCTAGCTTAGCCTGCCCACTTGTGCATTGAAATCACCTGTGATAACCGAATCTGAACTTCTGTATTCTAGTAGCAGATTACACATTTTTCCACAGAACTAATCTTTCGCTTCATCATAACTACAGTTGCTGAGTGCGTGAGCAGAGATTACGAAGAGGCAATGACGAGTTCCCCTATTCTGTCTGACAGAGCATACACAGTGAACTTTTTGCTTTGGAACTTAACGCCATACCTACACCTGTAAGATTGCATAAACTAGCTATCGAATATCCGGGAACTCGAACGATGGATTTCTCAGGCTCACCACACTGGTTGAATAACATTAAATGAATAACCACACTAGGATCCAGTATGTGTGTCTCACAAATACAGCACGCATTCATGGTCCGAGATGCCAGAGTTGTGGCTAGAAAGGCTTGTTGACTGAATAGATTGAGGATTCGGACAATCAAAGCTCTGATATGCAGTTTCAAGCGCGGTCTGAAGTGGCAAGGTATGCCGTTATGCGAACTGGAATTGTTATTAGGAGTGGAAGGACTGGAATACTGACAAAGAGATGTGAAGAAAGATTACAAGGTGAAGGTGTGGAAGGTTGATAATGATCAAGGGGGAATTGAGTGCTGTTAGTTGTGAAGGTCATTGATACTGCCCGTCTGCCTACATCGCGAAACGTTACTTCTTGATCTATCGGTGAAAAACTGTAATGGTGACATTGTTAGGTTGGCGCAGGGCCCAACGGGCATCCATCTATCATATAGCCTTTGGGAAGTCTGAAATCCGAGGCTGACTATAACGAACCCCGGTTATAAAAACACATACCACAGGTACCAGAAGACCACAGGGTAGAGATGGAAGTTACAGTTTTCGGAAAAATTTTCTTTGTGCATCTAATGAATAAGGAAGACAGTTTCCGCGCGCACTGCTGGTCATCCATGGGGAATATTTTACTATTTTGTTACCCCTGGTCAAGCTAGCATTATTGCTTCATTCTCATACCCACATCATAAGGTAGCTAGTTATCATGACAGTAACTAATTTTAGTCTTATCACTTTCCTAAAGATCGTTCTGGTATGGCACAACTTCAAGGAATAAGTGTTCGAACCAGCAGAGCTCGTTGTGATATACAAGGCCCAATCACTACATCATTGTAGCTGCTTCAGAATCAACAAGTTTTCAGTTTCCGATTTTTGTTAGCTGTAGATATAGAGCAGTTATCAACCAATGAAATTGGATATTACTCGTCCTTATACTCGGTTAGGTTAACCTCATAGGTCACAAATCCTCATTAGAGCACCGACAAGTCCATATCGATAGAGTTCAGTAAGGAGCACTGGGCAGCAATTCAATCAATAGCTTGTGCAGACGAGTTGTCACTGAGAAGAAACTAGAAAGAATTAGAAGGCTGTTGAGGACAGGGTATAACTTAAGTCATTACATTCAAGTTTGAAACTTTCTAGCTGTGACGCTAGATGATGGTAATAATACCGGTATGGTAGAGGTTAAATGTGTTAACCATTCAATTCCAAACGCGACAGTTGGCAGGCGATACGCCTGCCTTAAACCCTATTTGATCATTTTTCCTTTTATAGCTTACAGAGTCAAGAACGAATACTTCTGTGAGCTCTCAAAAACAGTTGGTTCTTTAGTTAGTTTTACTATTGGTATCATAAAAAGGTGACCTTTTAGAAAGAACAAGCAAACCAGTAGAAAAAAAATAGTAGACCATAAATCTCAAACTGGCAAACACTTACTCAGTGTGAGTCGTACACCTTTGGCTACTGGGGCAACTACAAGGCACAATTTTGTAGCTTTGTGAATTATTCGCTTAAAATAGAAAAGGAAATAAAATAATGAGAGAAGTAAGCCAAACAAGGGAATAAGTTATCCAATTCAAGAATTAATGTATGAACAAAACAATCAGACAAACAAATTACTATTTTTGTTGAACATGAATTATTAAAACAAGAAGGATAGTACAGAAAGTGTCAACTCATCAAACTTAGGATCAGATTTCATCAAAGGTCATACTAGCTAAGTATTTTTAGTTAAATAAACATGGAATATATTTTCATTAAGCAAAGGAACGGCCAACAATGATTGTTTCATACGATCACCTTCAATTCTGTCTTAACGATTTGCCTGTTTTAAAATTACATGAAAATATATACACCTTTAAACTTAGCATATTGTTCAAAGTATCTTGACCGGTATTTATCTTTATGTTTCATTTTTTACTACTTGACTCAACCAAAACAAATCATCGCTTGGGTTAATAACCGAAAAATAATCATAATAGGCACTCACGACCCCACCAGGGATTGAACTTAGGACCTTCAAGACGAACGTGTTAACCATTCAGTAACTAGGTTGGAGTTCAGTGCTCCAGTTTCCTAATTCCATCAATTCGTGATATAGCGTGAATATACACCAAGGTCTTCAGTTGGCATCCGATTCACTTCCGACCTGTAGATTCCACAAATCACAAATTCTCATTAGAACCTCGAGATATCCATCTCAAAGTATATCACTAATGAGCACTATACAGTTATGGCATGTTGAGGTTAATGGGGATTTTATTTTTAAGACAGTATTCACCAGTTATGTGCTGATGAGTTCAATACTTGGACACAAACAACTGTTCAGTCCTCCCAGGTTTTCAGTGGTCCTCCAACTGATGTCAGTCTGAGATAGAGAGAAAGAAATGAGATGGGAAACTTTCGGTGGAGGGTTACGCGAAGGAACTTAACTACATAAGAATACTATAATAAGTGTTATGCCAAAGAGTTATCTTGGATAAGCTAAAAATCCTTTTCTACGTGATTCTGTCATTTATCACCACTGTAGTTCAAATTTACAGAGCTATCCTTATTTGGCAGTAGTATAATCTTTGAATACTATGAAATTAATAATAAAGTGAATTCACACTTTTACTTGGTATTAATTAATTCTTTGAGTATAAAGTCAATCGAAATTGTTTAGAAGATCAAGAAAAGATACAAATCTGTAGGTTATTTGGAAACTGATCGATTACTGGATGAGAAGAAACAGTGGCCGTATAGTACGAGTACTTTAACGCATGACAAAGAATAATTGATCACTCGACTGTTACTTTCACACTACTAACATCTACAGAAGGAGGTAAAACTGAGGACACAAAATTTATTATTCAAGAAAAATCCCTATTTTTCAAGACTACATGATGAACAAATGTCAGGTTTGATACAGAAGTTTTTTTGATCAACAGTGAACTAATAAAAGGTCACTTGTTTGACCGTCGGTTTAAGTGAAGGAAGTGATTTCAGTCTATATCTTAAGAATGAAACATAGAGCAATGTGAATCCTTTCTGTTCATTCTCACAAATATGTTAATACATTGAGCACAACTATTCGGAACTGGAAAGTTTACTGAAACAGTCTAGATGAGGATGTACATTTACTCATGAACGTAGTTTCAATGAATTTAATACATATAAGCATAAATAGATAGTTTCTATTGATACTACTACTGGCAGACGTGATTTACATTCAGAGACAAATTATGACTCATTCAGTAAGATGTCTACAAAAATCAACCAGAAGGAGTAGCGTGCTCACACACTGCTTCATCTAATGACACATCTAGACAGTTACATCCGATTTAGAATGGGGTCAAGTAACAATAATCAGAATATCAAACAGCAACTTACATTTTTAGATATTTCAAATGTCTGACTGACACTACCGTTTACACATCCTCGGAAAAACAATTTTCCAGTCCCAACATTTCTTCGATCACCTCCATCCATACATCCTACTTGAAAACGAATTGCACCACCTTCAGTCATTGCGAATACCTGATTACCACCTTGTCCATGACATCGACTTGTACCAACAGATTCATCTATTTTATGACCAAGTGAGTCTAGACAATAACCAGTTTTTTTATGCCGAACCTGATGTGAAACAAAATGTTTGTAAAAAAAATTTTATAGTACAACTAAAAAATAAAAGACTGAATGAAACTCGACAGCTGATGTACAACTGAGTGTGAAAGTTTGTGGGGATCCATTGATAAGAAGGTAGTATTAATAGCGAAATGAAACCAGTTGGAGAATCATTGAACACCTAGTAGTACTGGACAGCTATTTTGTCTTAACGTTCAGAAAATTTAGCTGATGATTGACTCAGTTTCATGAATATTATGAGTATACATACTGTCATGAAATCAGCTGAATTACATTTGGTGAAAAAAGTCAGTTTTATTGAGTTAAACAGGTTTAAAATAAGCAAAATCGTGGCCGTTTTTTTCTGGTAATATTTTTTACTCAAAAATCACTCAGTAATAGACATAGGGGTTAGATGGGTAGAAGGCATCCTCACTTGACCCCAGGTTTCATTTTCGTTCCCAATCATAAGAAGCATATCCGTGGTCTCACGAAAACTTACACTTCTTCGGACACTGGAATATGATATTATTCCACTCTCAATTGATGGATACTGCCTAGGCTAAACACCTTTACCAAAGCATCTTTAAATGGCATTTTGACATAAAATCACCAAATTCTAATAGTTAATAGACTAGTTTCAGATTTTGTGATCAGATAAGACAATATGAAAGTAAAGCGATCGACAAGTTTATGTGACTCACTAGACTAGACAATATTTTTAATTATACCAGTTAAACTCTATTCGTTGTAAATGATCTAATACAAGATATATATGAATCCCGGGCCAGTTAGCTAGATTTCCTAAATCTTTCTCTCTCTCTTTTAATTTTGGAGATGGTTAAAACTCAAGTTCTGTCAACCAAATTATTCTCAAACCCTGAATGTGATCAATCAACCACATCATTTCATATCATATTACTGACTGACGAAATCAATGTAAAACCACGCAGAAAAGTGCACTGGATCAAGCTGCCACACTTCACAGTTGTACAAAAAGAAAAGGAGGATAAAAAAAGAGGGATATCACAGTCAATAAAGTTGTATGAGACAACAAACTATCTGAAGATAAAAGTTATTGAGAATATTCAAGCTTTAGAAGATGTCAAGGAGTGAATACATCTGCCCCATTGTGAGCGATTTTCATCCATGTCACCAAGAGTCATCAACCACTAACTCCAATCGTCTCAGAGATCCCAAACCGATAGTCTACATCTCCCCACACAACTCAGACCAACAGTGAGCGACTTTATCGACTGGTGCCAGGTCTTAGTTTCGCCACTTTGAACCCTTTCCCAACTTAATCCAATATCCCCTTGTGTAGCACATCGAGGTAGGTGGTGGTTCGGCATGCATACTACATATGTCTAAACCATCTCAGTCGATGAAAGTTCACATCACCATTCGACTTCCCTGTCTTGCCTAGTACCCTTCGCTTGACATTATTCATTGACATTATTCACACGGTGATCCCACCAAACGCAAGCAATCCTACGAAGACATCGGTGATCAAAACCCAGTAATCGCCTCGTGTCATCTACTTATAACCCCCATGTCTCACAGCCGTACAAATATCGCTTCACAACACGCAAACAAGTGAGTAACTCATAGCCTAGTACACTACGTTTTACTTGATTTTTGAGTTGCATGATGGTAGAGAATTCGGGTGTTGACAAGTTTTTCCATCCTAAAATCCTCTCCTATTTTATCCTGTATAACCACAACATTAAACCACACATATGTGTCTAGTGTTGAAAAGATAAAGGCTTAATCACATCAGAATGTGAATATATTGGCTAGTCACTAGACAGTAACCAATTTCATATTGTCTAGTCCTGAGTGATGACTAAATTCTATTCATCATTTTGAAATATGATCACCAAGCTAGAAGAATCAACATCGATTTGGACTTCGATAAATATTAGTTGGATATAGGCAACTAGCAGGAAGTCCTGGACCTAGGTTTCGTGTTTCTTGGCGCTCGTTAGCATGACACATCTCAACCTTGAGGGAGCTGAGGCTCTCTGTTGAACTCGAACCATCGCCACCCAGTGTTGCATTCAGAAACGTTACCACAGAGTTATCTCGCAAACGACTGAACTCCCCCTATAGGACTGGATTAAATTCATTGGTTAGTTACTGTCATACGAAGTCACTTGGATACTTCTCTTTATGTACAGCTAGCTTGTTGAAAAGTTAAGTGAATATTTGTAAAAATCACTTTTTATAGGAGATAAGTAGATGTTTTTCTAATTAAAAATAACACAAATCATGACATAACAATTCTAAACCTAAAGACGGGAGTAAAAGAAAGCATATTTTCAATACGTGTGGAAGAGAAAGATAACCGTTTGTCTTTCTTAGATTAACCCTTGGGAGAATGGATCCCTGAGACGACCTATTTAGATTACAGGTCAGAGGTCTATTCCACCTATTGATGTTTGGTAAGCCTTTTAGTACTGTCAATCCTTACAATAGATGTGACTGGTTGCTTGATGCATAAAACTGCACAGGTTTGCTGAGTTGAACTGTACTGCATTTATTGAAAATAAAATATATACATAAAAAAAATCATTGAAACAGCAGTAGTTAGCTTATGAGATTTCCTGTCCACCAAACTGGTTCAAGCAAGAGTTAGTCAGATGCTCATTTAATATAATTTAACAAGAATGATGACTGAATTATTATTTGAGAATAACTACTCATCTAAATTTATTAGTCGATAAAAAGAGGTTAGAACATCCAAACCAAACACACAATCTATCCCGAAGAAGGATATGTTCACCAAGCTTTCGTAAATGAATGAAGACCAGATCGTGGTCACTAAGCAAGGACTCAATGTTACCGTCAGAAGGAAATACTATGCAGTTAGGGTCAGGTCATTAGAAACCGCCAAGTCTGCATATTCTTTTAAATCCTTACGACGTATAAACGGTAACGTTACATTGCACTATATCGATCAATTTAAGTGTACTTGTGGACACATACAAAACAGTTGAGCTATATTTAATAACCTAGTAACCGCCTGTTATAACCGTGTATTAACTACTCGATATATTTTCAGTATATATATATATATATATATATATATATATATATATATATATATATATATATATATATAGGTGGACGCTTGTACAATAGCCTTCAGATTCCGCCCCCTGATAATCGCTCAGTTTCTAGATAAATGGAAAAGGTGGTAAGATAATAGGTGTATTTCAACGTCAAAAATATACATAAAAGACAAAGAGTTATATACATTTGGAATGGCCCTGGCTATTTTCAAGCCCTTTCTAGATTTGAATCCTATTAATTTTTCGTCTCTTTAACCAATCTGATATTCACGCGTTGATTTACGTGCTTTCTCCCGAAACTTTTAGGCAAAACGATTGGTTATAACAGGCTTCAGAGATTTAGGGCTTTTGATACAGACCATGGCAATCTCATTCCGCACTATAATACTATCCATGGAGATCAAATTCTTTGGGGAAGTCGTGAAACAGATCAAATCACCTGATCTCGTTGACGTTGGAAGTAGGCACCCCAGTTCTCCAACGGAAGATTTATGTTCCCATATCTTTTAGGCTTATCTCTAACTATTTTTGGGACATATTCACAAATTTGTCGAAGTTATAATTATAAAGGACTTTTATATATCTACCAAAGGTATCTCATCACACTAACTCTCAGTTGGTGAATTCGGCTTCGAAACCAAGATTGACGTACTATTAATTTCTACTTGACTGCTTTACAATATTATTATGGCTTTCATTTTATTCTTCTCAATCGACTTTTTTCATTTTGTCACTTCTTAACTCTTTATTATCCTTCAGAAAAATACCTATAACAAGCACGCTTATAATCAAAAGGTTCTATATGTGTTGCACAAATACATCACACGGTCCATATAATTACGCCTTTTTATTGATTTGTCAAAAATTTCTAAAGTGAACTAATTGTTGTTGTGTCGAGAGGTTTCACCACAAATTAACAATACCTGAAGAAATATTGGAGATACAAAAGTTACTGGACAAGCACTATACAATCTGTTGCGAAAATATTCAGCAGTAAACACATACAAAACTTTACAATATCATGAACAAATGCTACATTTATAGTGTCAATTAAATAAAGACTTGACCACCAGTTCAAGTCACGAACTAGTTGGGCTTAAAAAGTTCCGGACGGTGATGATGATACCGATGAACAAAGGCATGTGGTTTCTTGTTGTCTCCTTCTTTAAACAGCCACAAACATGGGCACCATACAAAACATTAAGAAGACATAGAAAACGGAGAGAAGAATGCAAACAAAAAAATAAGTGGCTTGTTAGAAAAGTGGTCACGAAGTTACTTCCGAAGAAGTTTTACTTTTCAGTAGTAGAAAAAAACTACAGTATGCTCGCCATTGGATTCGATTTTGAGTCACATTTGCTAACGTCTCAAGTCGCTGAGTTGGATAATCTCTCGGACCTCATCCAAGTTGTGTGGAACATACATATGTCAACTGAATACAACTATCCTTCATCATATGGTGCTACATCAAACAATGACCATTTCTCTGTTTCTTTTAAATAGGTTCACGGCAAGCGAACAGGGAGCGGTGTGGGAGCCACTGCAATGAAATGTGTCACGTATACCCGAGCCACAAAGTGGATGTTTTAGGATGATACCACTCAACGAAAAACGACCTCTTTCAGGCCGAGACACCGTTAAATTTCAGAATTACTTACCTGGTGTTCCCACCAGGTGCAAACAATCCTTCAGAGATAACTGTAGTTGAACATCCAGAGCTCAGAGTTGCAAGGTTTTACCGGCGTAGAGCAGAGATATTCGTATTGATGCGTGGTATATCCTATGTTTCGCAGTACATTTAACATCAAGACCTGGAGTGTTCCTTGAAGATCAATTTTTCGAGCTGTTTACATAGTTTTTCAGATATCTTACCTGCACCAGACATGAAGAGAAATGGTACACCACAGAAAGCATTTCATACTCGAGCTACTACTT